TAGAAACTTTAGAATTTATATGTAAAAATAAATATATATAAACATGAATTAAATAAAATTTAAAAGTCAAATTTATTGTTAAAAAAAATAGTTTGCTTACGTGGACACGAGAGAAAACTTCCCCAAAACAATTTTGAATTGTGTTTGGGAAATATTTTGGACCAAATTAAGATGGACTATAATACAATAAGGCCCGTTAATGCAAGGGCCGGTTCACACTCTCAATCTCTCTCAGAACTCAAAAGAGCAACATTAATAACCGGAATTTCACCATCCTCTGATACATGAAACTACAGAATCTTGAAAACTGATGAATCTCTTCATAATTAGCTTTTCCCTGGTCGAATTTACGCCAAGGTTGAAACATTTTACAACTCTCTAAGCCTTAGAATTGTGTCAAAGAGGAGAACCAGATTTGGATATAATTTATTTTATTTTTCCTTTATTGCTTTACACATTCCTATTAGTTTTTTGGTTTTTTGCTAAATAATTCCTGTTACTTTTAGGGTTAGCCTTTGTATGGTTAGAATATAGGTTACTTCGCGCTTTGTTAGTTAATAAAGGACACATATTATTTCGATGTTTAGTAAAAGACTCTTTTTCCTTTAATTTTAGACATCTTTTTGATTAAATGATTATTTGAAGATATGTCATAGTCTGTTAAAGTTGTCATTTGTTTGACTTCACAAAAATGCTCCCAAAAATAAAGATATAAATCTCTATTAGGCATTTAAATTTGTTACACAACCACGAGTTACATAGGGGAGGCTACAAGAAAAATTAGTTTGAAACGAAAATTACAAATTAAAAGAAAAAATATTCATCAGATCCAGTGGAGATTTGAGAATCATTTGTTTTTGGTCCCTTCATTTTTGAGTTTCTTCAAACTCCTTCCTTTCTTTAATAATTTGGGACTTTAAGATTCACTTTAATCATTACTTTAATCCATCCAAAATAGCTGCTCTTCATTCTGATCTTCACACTAAAACAACCTGCTAAGTTCAACATTATAGTCAGATTGGATATACACTTTATAAAGTAAAAATAAACAAGTAGTGAAACACTTAACTGGTGATTTAGAATCTGGTTTCCATATGCAAATAACCATACTGTTCTTGGAATGCTTCTTTGTCCTGCTTGTTTCAACATATAAATACATTAAGTGAGACTCTTGAGAGACAAGTCACGTGTTTACTGAACAGAATCTCACATTAAGAAGAGAGAAGAGAAACCTGAAACTGAGTCGCCGAGTAGCCTTGCGAATAATCCACTGTACTTTCCTGAAAGGTTTGCTCTATCTTTTTACCACCAACATTTTTCTGCAACATCTACAAAAAAAATATTCCAAAAACAAACCATAATTAAAATCAAGACCCTAAGTTTTTTTTGTTTTTAAATCAAAATCAAGACCCTATAAGTTATGAAAAAGTCTTTGTTTTTACATAACCGCTAAGCCCAAACTAATCATGGACTTCTATGTGATGTAAATTATGCACTCTCTAAGCATTTTATACATGAACTACAAAAAAAGAAGAGATTTTTCCTCTATAAAATGACTGATAATTAACTAATGGACTATATAGTATCACTTGGTTTTACAAAATTTATTTTGAAAACAAAAAAAAAAATACTTACGTGAGAACTAGCAGTATCATCAAGAACAGAGTTAATTTTCTCATAATCTCTTCTCTTGTTCTGTTTCTTGGCACGAACACTCTTTATCTTCTTCACAAAGTCTTCCTCAGAAATATTTCTTGGACCAGAAGATGCATCTGAAATCATGGACAAA